GGCATGTTTTCACTTTGTTCTGAGTTTGTTCTCACTTTGTTCTCAGCTTGTTCTGAGTTTCTCAGCTTGTTCTCAGCATGTTCTCGGCATGTTCTCAGTATGTTCTCACTTTGTTCTCATTTTGTTCTCAGCTTGTTCTGAGTTTCTCAGCTTGTTCTCGCTTTGTTCTCACATTGTTCTTCTGTTCTGCGGAGCAGTTTGTTGGCAGGAAGTAAATCTGTGACTGTTCTGTTCTCAGAGAGGTTCTTTCCAGGACAGCAGTGTCCAGAACCAGCCTGCGGTCCAAACTGCTGCTGCTGAGGAGGAGGATGAGTGGGAGTGAAGAGTCCAGCCTCCATCAAGCTGTGGATCCAGAGTTCATGTTGTTGTAGTTCCACAACGTTCAGTTTATCCTGGAAGTGACAGGAACGCCGCGTCGTCTTGTTTTATACCTTGGTTTTCTTTTTTTACTTTTATAAAGTGATGGAACTACTACCAATAAACATTTAAGCATTTTTCTGTATGTGATAATCAAAATAAAGATTTCTACATTTTTCTGTGACGTGGCTTTGGATCCCTCAGTTCTTCTAATGTCCTTCACATGTTCACCTCAAAACATGTGACGGGGAGGTCAGCCACTTCCTGACAACTAAAACAAATATTTTTACTTTGACCCATGACCTCACAGTAACTTTACTGCCCTCTAGTGTTCCTGAGAGGTCAAACCAACCACATGGAAATCCCTTTATAAATGCCCCTCCTGATCCTGTAGCCAACATGACATGATGCATTCTTTTCTTTAGTTTCACCTCTCTGTGTTACATTTAGTAGCTCTTCATCGTGAGGGACGCTGCAGCTTACCTGGAACAGGTGCGTTGCTGTGGAGCCCCGCCCTTCAGCTCCACTCCAAAAACCTGACTGGGCTGTAGAAGAGCACCTTGTGTTGTGCACGAGTGCAGATCGTCTGACGCACCACGGCTCAGAGCAGCCAACTCCTGTTCTGCTGGCTACTATCTACTTTATATATATATATATATATATATAT